TTGACGTTTATACGATGATCGTTAAGATTTGTTTTTATTTATGATCGCTACTATAACTATTTCCGATGCGTTTTGATATTTTATAGAATTATTCCGTAGAACATTACTAATGAAATATAAAGGTTCATCGGTCAGGCTCTTAAACATCACAAGAGGATTTATATGTGTACTTGATTTTTGCTCTGGGAAAATTTGAGTAGATCAGGGATGAGCAAACATTTTTAGTCGCATCTCCTGTAGAGCTATTTAATAATCGCGCTCTCTTCTCCGACTCGTACGAAGAAACTGTTTTATTGTTAGTAAGAATATAAAAACAGAAAAGACAAATTTTTCCACAAATAAACAGTAAAACCTGAAAAACAAATACAAACAAACAGGAAAAAAATGCTTAAAATAAATAAATGTATGCATTTTTATTGAAAATAGAACATTTTCCGTGTTCCATAANTAAGAAATAAATAAAAATTGTACATACCAGATTTGAATCATAATAACGTTCGTATGGTGGAGTCGGAACAGCATAATTGTAATTTTTTGCAAATTGTTTTGAACAATTAATAATGTTTTCTTCAAATTCATGAATAACAGAGAATTCTAGGGGTAAATCATGAAGTCTAGTTAAAACGGTCCTTATTTCTCTATCCGACCAAGTCCTTTAATAAATTTGAATTTTATTTAAATTTCAAAATAACTTGCAATCTTGTTTTTAATTTTAACTATAAAAATTAAAACTACATACTACATTACTTAATTTTTATTATGTAAAAAAAGAATAATAATGCGGTGTTATTTATTTATTAATTTTACGAAAAAGTTCGATTTATCAGAATCGAATCGACTTATTTCAAATAGGAAAAATATGGTGTTTTGAGTGGTAAGGAATATCGCAATTAATAGACTTGGCTGAATATTAGGTAACTCGTCGAAATCTCTTGATTGGTACTCTTCTTGCCTAACTTGGATAACACTTGTTCGACAATAATTTGTTAGTTAAATGAGTTACGTATCATCTGATAAAATATTAACACTATTAACTTTAATGAGTTGCTGCGTAAGCACGAAACATATGAGAACATTGTTGATTCTCTCACACCTAAAAATTGACGAAATTCGACACTCTCCTAATCATAAACGAATTATTTATAATAAATTATTTCGTAATCAACAATAGTTTAATCCAGGCATAAGATACGAAGTTCGAAAAATATTTCATATAATATGGAAAAACCTTTCTTTTTTGAATATCTTTCATCTTTGCGTGTAAAACGGAATTCTGAAAATATAATTCTTATATAATGTACAATTTCAGTTATAATCCTTTCGAAAATTAACAAATCGTGGAACAAAATTTAATCGTTACATTTAATTTTTTTATTGTTATATCTTGTTACCACAAAAGCAGCGAATAAAAAATGGAAAAAGAAAGATTTAAACGGCATACACAAATTCAAACGATTATGGACGATGAATATTTCACTGACAACAAAAGCTAGGAACATCAAGAAATTGTCATTCCATTTCTACCAAAATTGAAAAAAAGCGAGGGAACATTAATGCTTTTAAACTGTAGATTACTTAGTTAAAATATAAATCAAGAACAAATTCATTAATGCTGGTCCAAATGAAATTATAGTGTTCTCTTGAAGCGTGATCTGCAAACGAACACTTGTATTTTTGACATTCGATGCGTGCATACAACGAGTTAGGAAAATAATTATGCTTAATAAAATCCAGGGAAGTAGGTAAGAAAGACAACGAAAAGGAGGGGAATGGAACTAGGGGATGTCTTTGCAAGAAGTGCCAGATATTTCTAAGAATGAAATAAAATGGAGCCTTTGATAATACTTTGACTAAAAGGCAGATTTGTCTGGAAGAAACGTAATAACATCAAGTTTTTTTTTTTTAAATAAAAGTTTACAGTTATTAAGCTTGCATAGATAAGTTTATAGTTAAAAAATCGGATTGAAATTCAAATAACAGACTATAACTTTACAGAATTAGAAATGTATTAACATTAAACGTAGGCTATAGAAAAATTAATATTCTTATAGGATGAATATGTATGGTTATCGCTTTAATATGCCACTATTTTCAATATAATTAACCGCGATTCATTGTTCATAATATTTTTAAAATATATTCTTATGCTTAATTTATATTTTTTATAAATGTTAAGCAAATATAACAAAGAAGTTGAACACTCTTCATTAAAAATCTTTTCGAGTGATAAATGTAGTGTGAATTTTTATGTTTATAATTAACAATTAAAAAATTACGTTTTAGTATTGGAAAATTTTAACTATTCGACTATTGTTCTTGATATTATTTCTTTGGTAATCCAAGACGAGTAAAACAGAAAAATAAATATTCTGTAGAGATACTTGTTTCGTCTTTATCGTTGTCTATCAAATCAATTATTATTATATTTTATTTATAATAGTAGAAGTAAAATTAAATAATACGCTTAAAATTTTGATATTTTGAGAGTTTTAGGAAAGCAAATATCAATTAAAGAACTTTCAATTGATTTGGAACAATTATTTCAAGAGATAACATTGATTTTTAACACTTACTAATCCAGTAGAGTGTAAATTTTCCAGTCAATCAGCTTTGCAAATTTTTAAGTAGAATAGTTTTAACTTAATTTAGAAAAGTACAGTCATATGTAAAATCTGTTATAGCTGTTTCTATTAAAAAAAGCGTCCTTGATTTTTAGCAAACTCAAAGCTAAAGAAATTAAATTTAAGTTATACTGCATCAGTTTTTTGGGAAATTTTAAAGTGTTATTTTATTACTATTGATGGCAAAGAAATATATGAAAAATATTTTATGGAAAAGATATTACGATATGATTTGTACGTTTACAATAAATTTATATATTGCATTATGCAATACAAAGATTTGTTACAGCTCAGTTAAAATGAGTCATCTCCAGCGTCATAATCGATATTTGATTTTATAGAGATTCTTTTGCAGTTGTATCCTTTCCGCAGTAAATCAACAGAACACGAGTCTATAACTTAAAGTATATTTATATTATAATTTTTAAATTTAATAAAAAATTGGTGTTATTTAAAACAATCTTTGCTACCCTTTATACCAGCGACTAGAACCATTTTTTGCATTTATTACTATATTTTCTAACATTTTAAAATCGTATATATTATAGAGAAATCTTTCAACACAATGTAATTTAGTAAAGAAAGTTCTTTCGGCAAATATATGAAAAGTAAAGGAAGCTTTTGTGGGTTACTGGATTGATCGATACGTGTTAAGTATTTTACATCACTGAGTCGACACCGCAAGTTAGGTCAGTCGGTTATCGAGCATGGCGTTTAACTGTGTTTAAATTAGCAAAATATTTCGTGTTTATCGCAATGACGTAGGTTGGACTATTGTTTTTAATGAAAATTAAAAATGAACGTGTTATTAGAATTCAGTTTGCGATTATCGGTATTGACAGAGAAGGCTCATAAAATCATCAGTTATCGTTGTCAAAGCGATTCGGGCAACGTAAACACGAAAGAACGATCCTAATCAAACCAATACATAAGTACGGGAGTCGACAACAAAATTAATTGATGGATCAACCCCCGCCGAGTGTAGAAGACGTAACACGAATTCCACCCGGATTTGAAGTTAACGTGATCTGTTAGTTAAAACAGTTTGTTCGTCAGATTAAGAACGCTTGGATGGTCTGTGTAGAGATCAGTGAAGCGACTCTTGACTTTACTAACACAATGATTTGTATCCGTTCTTCGTTTGTCGGAGCGGTAATTACAGACTCACTGACTGCCCCTCACCGCCTTTGTTCTCCTTGGTATACTCCATAAATAATTCATGGGCATATATAATAGTCCATCCCAAGTTGACTTGGGTTAATATGTGTGTCGTCTACCGCGTTTCTGTTAATGATATTCGATTGAGATTTCAGTTAGAGACAAAAGAAGGTTATAATGACAAGACTGTACATATTTACAATATTTTCCCCCTTCAATCGCTGTTTTTTTTATTGCGAGAGGTTTCCTTCCATCTATTACCGATATAGAACAATGTGTAATCTAACTTAGATCATGATGGATGTGGAGTGCAGGTGTGGATTTTACTAGTGGCAACGGTCATATTTCTTCTATTCACCTGACTTTTTTTCGACTAGTTTCGATCTTAGAACCAAATAGGTAAACGTTAATTTAAAAATCAAAATATTAACGTGATGAACTTGCAGCGGAATCCTATAATTGAAACTCATTTAAAAAGATCTCATTCTTTGTAAATAATTATCTATTTTTCTTTAAAAAACATAATAAGGCTTTTCATAATCTAACCAGTAATAAGAATCGGGGGAAAATGATAAGAATGGATCATAAATACACAATTATAATTATGCGTATTCATTAGGGTATGCGAGTCTGGCTAGCTAAGACGTTGAAGAATATTTATCACCCGCATATTATTATAGGTAAGACTGAAAAGAAACCATTATATAAAGTATACAGAACAAGTAGTCGAACTTATAAAGGGAAAAAAACTCAATCAACTTTTAATAACAGTGAGAAAGGAATGTTAGACGTATGGCTCGACTGAAAAAGAACAAGAATCGCATGAACAGGACCATTAGGACGAAGTTTCTATGATTGGGCGGTGTTACGATGTAACGCTGTAGTGAATAAACTGTCACTGTCGTTATCTCGTCCCTTATACGGAGCAATGTGACCACTTAATGTTACATCGAAATATAATGACAGACATTAACTGGCCTCCTGGCATCTGTATTCCCATTAGTTCACTGCTTGACTCCGTTCGATGATCTAATGAAAGGTTAATAATGACGTCACACGCAGAGGCAGATTAAACTAGAAAAGTGTGCTTTAGTACGTATATGATGAAACGAGGAGAATTTTAAAATATTCTGACTTGCCCTAGCTTATCTTTCAATAAGAGGGGGACTCTGACGTGGACAAAAACTCACTTGACATTATTCGGATAAAATTGTTTAAAACTCCCTTAGCAAACTTCTTAGTGTTTTAAAAAATTTAAGTCAAATTTATATTCGTAAGAAAGCTTTACGTATATTTAGGTACATGAAATATCTTTATCCGTACGAATGTGAAAAAGAGAAATTAAGCACACCAGAAGAACTGCAGTCAGCCATTGATGGAAACAGGAGGGAGAGTAGGCGGTCGAATTATGGCCCTTATCCAGAAATGGTTAGTATGCCGAGAAATTCTCATCATCTCTCACCTCTGAGTTTGGTATCACGACAAGTCAACGGTCACAGTTCAACTCAGGGCATTAACTCTTCTGGTAAGTATTCTTTTATCAATCGAATAGTCGAAACCTGTCCTTATCTAAATTTACATATTTTCATTCAAATAAACGAATTTTAATGAATCGCTGTTATACAAAATATTGTGTTGTTTAGGCATTTGAAAAAAATAAATATTTTGACAATGCAAATTTATTCTTGATGGATTGAGTAAGCGTAAATCGTTAACAGCGTTATTATTACAGTTATAATTTTATTATGATTTATTCGAGATAAAACTCTAAACTGGTGACGTTTATTAAGAATTGAATGATGTCCGCTGTTCGATAAAATAATTGTTGGCAATAGAAACGCAAACAGCTCCAAAGATAAACACTAATGAAATTAATTTTAGTTTTTGTTAATCTTGTACATCCGGTTATTTTGCAGTTGGTTAATGAAGTAATAAGACTTCTAGAATAAATGTTAATAATTGTCGAATTCGTCGCTTTTTTATTATTCTTACATTGAAGAACCGCGAGAAATTAACTTCATCTATAGTTAATATTTGTCTTAATTAAGTTCATGCGCTGTCTCAAAAATGGCTAGCATTGCCTTTTAAGCACGCATCAGTGAAGCCGGTGTCAGAAAACGATTCAGCCAACCATCTAAAAGAGCTCCATTAAGAACGAAGTTGTAACCGTATCACTCGTCACCATTCCAGATTTAACTGAATACAAACAGCTATCCATCGAGGCTAGGTAATAGATTGTCTAGCTGAAAGCAGTCGGGGGTATTCATCACATAGACAAGTGACAGTTGCTTAGTTTCAATGATAACTCGAATCTTTTGTTGGTGAAACTTTAATTATTGCCTCGCCTTCTGCTCCAGCGATAGATATTGTGACAAATCACTTTACAGACCTTTCACTGGACGTCAAACTGAGAGCGAAACAGCTATCCCTCCCTTTTATTCCCTCTTCCTCTCGTCATAAAATTAAATTTACTCACGTGACAGCTACCTGTGTCAGGTAAAATCAACGTAGCATAATCACTGTTGCTTGTGTATTTAACCTCGCGTGTCACTTACATTTGAACTCTGAACTTCTCCATGATTTATGATCTGAATGACATTGCTTCCGAAACTCCTCCTACTCGACTAGAAGATTCAGAAATCTCTAGACGTCTCCTAATTATATGGTTCTTTGATTGTGATTGCTCTCTTCGATAACTATTTTTTTGTTTTCTTTCTAAAGAATTGTCTTCCAATGGATTCTAAAATTAACTATGATTCGTTTGATTTATATGAGCTTTCGTGAGAGTTTTGTTTAGACTAGAGAAACATTAAGATATATAATAACCGGATTCTCTTAATTATAACCTATGCATTCCTTAATGGAATTCTTGCTGTGATTATATTTTGCGAAGAAATTATAAGTATTTATGCATATAGAATTATCATTTTGCCTAAAATTATTAAGTAAGAACATTCAAACTTTTATGACTTTTTAACGGAAAAATTCTTAGTAAAATGCATTTGCGATAATTTCAGGTGAAGAAGACAATTGCAGCATCCCTTCGACACCTACCCATATAACGATGCCTCAGCAAGAAGCACTAAATTTAGAGGTGCCGAGGAACATAGATCAGAGTAGTAAATCAATAGACACAACATCGAGGAAATCTGTAGAAGAAAGTTCTCCTCCCCCTAAACGTTTTTTGTCAGACGAAGAGCGGCTTCTCAATCAAGCCGGTGTACCCAGCGCTCATATAAAAATTTCCAGTCGAGGCAAGTTCATTTGTTATTATTTAGCCAAAAGTTAAGTCTATTTAATTCAGTATTCTGATTATTTGTTCACGTTTCAGGCGACGGCCGATCTCAAATAGATAGTTCTTTGGTGGTCAGTATGGAAATCAATGGCATTATGTATCAAGGTGTATTGTTTGCTCAGTCCCACAGAAATCGCATAGCGTGAACTGTCCAGTGTTTCTACAATATACACCACTAGTGCCTTGTCTCCGTAGGAGACCGTAAAGAGCCAAGCTGACAAGAACAAAGTCCTTCTCAAGCCATCAAATACTGTAAATTTACATCATGCAGGCAATCAATAGGATCTCAAGATCTGATGGACAATGTGTTAAAAACATGGAACTGCTCTTTAAAAGTTATATGCTAATATGATATATCAGGATGGTGTTCTAAATATTTGTGTCAATTGGAATTGTTGAAATGCTTGAAACGCACGAGCTTAACCTTCAAGGCTCTTCAGATTACATCTGAAGTTAAGTAGAGGACATCGGCAAGAACGAAAACAGAGACTACGCCACGTCTTCTATTTTAAAAACTCCATCAGCTTTTAAGACCAGTATTCAATTTTATTTAGCTCAAAATCTTAATATTATTTTAACAAAAAAAATAATTCATCGAACGATTGTTGAGAATTTTTTCTCTTATCTCTTTTAATATTTGCAACTAACCTCCAGACTAACTTTACCCACCGTTGCAACTAATTTTAAAATTGTGTTCAAACTTACATTCCTGCAAGAACCAATATGGTTGATAAAAAATGGATTTTAACGAGGATTTTTCATCGTATTTTCCGAACGAATTCGAATGAAAGCAAATTCAATACAACAAAGTTGGCATCTGTCCTTCATAATCTACTGGTATTATCGATGATCTTTTGTAGATACATAACTGTCATAGTATTACAGTCTATATACCAGTAGTAACTCAAACATTGTTTAAATATTTTTGCAGGTGAAGACGTCAGACTCTTGTACAGAATTATGGGATTTGCCTCTCATTATTTTAAAATATTGCTTTTCCTATTATTTTCATCGTGTTCAGACAAGTTTTGTTTGTTATATGTATGTATAATTTATGTTTATTATATACAACGTGGTAGCTGGCCATGTCAAGTGATATGTATCACGCATATATACATACACATACATGTAATTGGTGCAAGGTTGTGCAGAGTCTCAGGGAATAAGATGTCATGTCTGCACCATTTGTACAGCATTCGCGGGTTACTTAATGAAGAAACCATAGAATAAAGTCAATTAAATGAATGAAGAAACAACACAACGACAGAAATGTTTTAAGGAGTAACGTTTATTTTATAATCTACCACATAACTTTTTTTATTTCTTAACGGGAGCAAAATGTATTCAACCGAATATCAATTGTGCTACTTTTAAGATTTTATTTTGTTAATTGAAAATGTAAGTCATCAGTGATTTTTCATTATGTTCAGGGGTTTTTTTAATGGTCAAGACGGACATTTGTACCTTGCTCCATGTCCCTCGTCTAGTAGATAGTGCAGTTTGTCTGTGCAGCTTATAATTTCATGTATATAAGGGAGAACTGTCCATATTGACTGTGAAAGTTTTGTGTGCGTTTTCATTCTTTATTTCTGTGATTTCTCATAAAATCAATTTATTTGACGCTTTTGTATTGTTTCCATTAACGTTTTGAAACATTTATATACGATTGTCATATATATATATATAGGCTATATATAAACATACACATATACACATACATGTATGTAGTTTCCATACTTCTTAATTATTCATGAAGTTATAAATGTTTACGTCACACTGCGATCAATTATTAAATATCATATCCAAATGAATGACATCTCATCTAAATAATTTAAAACTCATTAAAAACCTCAGAGCGTTTATATCTTTAGTTTGATATATAATTTTGTATAAGTAGAAATATTTAAAACAATTTTTGGGCATAACACAAGTTAGACAAAGTTAAAGCTTGATGTGTGCGATATTTGATATACGTCTGCAATCAAATAGAACCACGCTAATAATTGCCAATTTATTCTCGACCAGACATTAGTCTTTTTAAAATTAGAAAACACTGAATAAAAAGCGAAAATTCATCCGTCAAATTACACTCTGATATGGAAAGCTCACCGAAAACAGTAAATTGGCGTACATTATCTTCCCATTAAGTCCCAGACTGGGAATAAAAACAACGGGATCAAATTTCGAGTGCTTGATAGATGCTTCCAACTATTACTCGACCTGTGGGAACTCATTACTGACTTCTAGTGACTTCAGAAATTTGATAAGACGCCATCATAATTTTAAATTGAAAAGAGTAAGAAGACAAAATTTTGATTGACAGAATATCCTGAACTAGTATCTTTCTTAACTCCTGCATCTTTGCACAAACTACCTTTTTAATTATGCTAATTTCTCAAAATTCATTTCGAGTCATTTGAGATTGATTACAAATTTTATGGAAAATTTCATTAGTTAAAAACAATTCTACTTGTAGATATTTAAGTAACATTTGATATTTAAGAAGTGAAAAACTGAATTTTTTCACTCCTTAAATGTAGAAAAATTCTTGCCAAATTTAATTTGTTTATCTAAAAATAACATCAAAATAATGATAAAAAAAATTTAACCACGTTAGAATAATCAGAACAGTTTGAAAGTTCACCAAATAACGAATATTTGCATATAACGTGGATTCTAAAGTGGACAATATAGAAAGTGGACAAGGTAAGAAAACAAAACCTATAATTCATTTATAAGAAACATATCAGTATAAAAATCTCATATGATTTTCCTAACATCGAATGCAAAATTAAGCATTAAAAGCATGTTATAAATTTAAATACATTAAGTTTCTGTAGTCTATATTTTTATTTCTTGTGTAATATTACCGTTAATGTAATGCAAATAATAATAATAATAATAAATAAATGGCACATCAAAACACATTAATATAATACGATAAGTGAAAAACGATAACGATTATTCCCATCCACATCATAAAATAATAAAGTAGGTTCTACGATTCGTAATATTAATTCCTACGTCAAATATATTCTTTAAGTGCAACAATGTAGCAAAGCCATACATCATTGTCGTTTTTATAAGTTTCTTATGACAGTGAATTGATCTTGATATGACATTCCTTTCTTGCACACCCACTTCGAACAACAGTCTGAGATACAGCTCTTCTTAACTTCTGGCGTTCGGGAACACCCAGTTTCATGTTGAGTTTTAATAGCTACATTATCCCGGGATGGGCAGAGATTTGTCATTATAATTTTCTTCTGTTGTCAATGGTACTTCCTAATTCTCCACCCTTAGCATTTATCATTTTTATCAATATTTCCTTAACCATAATCAAATGATTATATTGAAATCAAATTATGGCATTAAATCAAATCGACGTTCTTTAATGTAGATGACAATACGAAAAAAAAATCAAATACTTTGTTAGTTTCTAATTCCATTGACAAAGAAAAATTATTTATTATTATTAATTCGATTGGTATAATGGAATACTCATCGATTAATTCGAGAGTAATGAACAGACATCTTTCATTTATAATTATATACTTCGTATTTATTATAACTTTTCAACGTTACCTGTTGGCTTTAAATAACAAATTTGATGTAGAAATATTCGCTTAATCATTAGAGAATTTTCTCTTCTATTTAGAACATGGTCAATGGGCATTGAAACTACATCAGGATCTTGCCATCAAAAATAATATTTAACTGTGTCATCTGTCACAATGAATATTCATATATCGTCGAACATTGAAAAGGTTTTCACAATTATTTAAATAACATCATATCGATATTTGGCGTTAATTATTAGAAATTTTAAATATAAATTTATTGTTTTAAAATAATGTTTGTAAATACAGTAGTTATCTGTCGAAAAGAACGGGTTAAATATATGATAATTATGTGTCATATCTTATTTTTCTGCATTTATGTTTTGTCGATAATTACTTGATTTATAGACAAAACGTAAATGTGAAGAATTGATTTTTTTTTTTTTTAATAAGAACGTTATTACAAATGGTATGTTACAACGCTTACGCCATCTTTTGAGGGATTAAAGTGCAAATATTGTATTAAATGTACACCTATAATAATAATAAATATTGATGATTGTCTTTAAGAATACAGCAAGTATTCAATTGCTTTGATAACAGCTGTTAAGACATTTTAAAATGAATTTGTTAAAATAAAATAAAGACTTATCATCAGGGTCGTCTGTAGGGAGGAGCTGGGGATTTTCCTCGAGCCCGGAGAAACCGTAGTGGTTTCTATGTCTATAAATTATTATTACTTACTTTTACTAACAAAGAATAAAATCTTTAAGACTGATTTCTATTAATTAATAAACATTTTATTTCATTTGTACGTAAAAAGGCAAAAGGGCCCGCTTTACCTCGGGCCCCATACCAAGCTTTCCACTGTCCTGCTGTTGACAAAAACAATTTAATACAAGTAAAATGCTTTCGCGTTACACCCGAAACATAATTAGTTCGGGATATTTAATAAGTTTTAACTGTGAAGAAGAGAAGACATTTTATTTATCACGGGACATTTCTATGGCATTTTTATGATCAAATATCCTTTGTTGAAGTCGACGTCATGGCGTTTTTTTGTTTTTGTCGTAAAGTGAGAAAAGATTTTTTAAAATAGTAATTAGAAATATTAAAATTAAGAAGCGCCGAACTTTATTAATTTCTTTTGAAGAATAATCTTAGAATTTTTATATTTTGATATAAAAATGTTTTATTTTCTTCGGTGGTGCCATCTAGCGAGTAGGAATGAAAATGATTTCAGTTAACCTTATTATCGCGTGTAATTTAAGAGGACATTATTCTTTTAAAATATCATTAATGTTTCCATCTTTAAATAAATATTAAATCTAATTTAATAATGTGTATATTAATTTGATTATTTTTATAAATGTACTGAGATAAATTTAGTTATTAAACATCTTCCTAATCATTAATCATAATTATAACATAATTAACGAATTGAGGAATAAAATATTGTTGAAGTTTTATTATTTCCTTGCGTTATTAATTTGATTGAATCACCGGATAGTTATAAATTCTCTTAAACCAAACTTTCCCGTGTTTTTAAAGAGAGAAAAAACGTTTTAAAATATTTTACACAATTTTGTGATAACCACCATTACTTACCGCATTTAAAATTTCTTCAGAGTTTAATATATTTCTGCAGAATAATTAGAAAATGCCTTAGAGATTATGAAAAGCAATAAAATACTTTAATATATTTATCATTCCGAATACGTAAGCTAAAGATCACGTTTGCTGTTTTTAATAAGACGTTGGTTGACACTCGTGTAAACCATTTCAGTTAATTATCATAATTTTAATGAAGATAAAATCTCTACTTTAATAATTTATGTTATATAATTTTATATACGATAATAGGAAAAGCATATTTAATATAAAACAGTAATATTAATCGATTTTATTTATTACCTAATGAATGATTGGCATTAATAAAACATTCGTTAAATAGGTCTAATTGTTCTCTTCCAGGAAATTTAACTTAACAATAATAATTTACATTTAAAATGCAAGCTGATATGTCCCACGTTTCTCTGACAAAAACTAAAATGTCCTCTAACATATTTGAAATTACCATTAAAAATATGATTCATGGACTGTGTGGAGCCTTTATTAATTATTACACAATGGTTACTTGTGCAATAATGCATTAAACTTAAATTATTACAGTGTGACTGAGATGAAATCAAGAGATGTCCGGATTTCGTGTTAGCCTACATTTTCTACAGGATCATTGAAAGTAACTCTGAAAAAATTTCGAACAAATTTCGACAGTTTTGTTGTACTAAATATTTGTAAATTTTTAAAATATATCAATAAATAAACAAATATTAAAACTATTTTATTTAACATATCATTCTGTCTTGGCTGAAGATTATAACGTTATCTTGAAAGTATCCGTCATGTTTGTAGGCCTAATTAATGTTTAATTCAAGACTGAGTAGCTCAGTTAGATTTTTAATCTATTGATAAC